AAATGTCGAACAACTTTTTATTTATGCACTGTATGAAAGTGCCATGGCCACCATGGATTATCAGTTTTGCATTAAATACGTTGTACATTCTATTTTGTTTGGAAGGATTGTTTTTGCTTTGTTCTTAGTTTTAAATAAACCATTGTTTTGATGCATGCTGTTATGCAAATTATGATTTGAAGGGGGGCAATTTTCTGTCTATGAATCTGGTTGTCTTAAAGAGGGGCAAATGAATGGGCTGGGATGGTCTGCGCTACTGGAAATGGCCAGCCCCTTCCAAGTGCTCATGATCTAAAGCGTTTTCTTCCTGGCCCCTCTACAGCCCATTACCAGGTCGTCTCACCTGGGCTGCAGGAGAAGAGAGTGCTGCCTTCAGCACACTTCTCTAATAGGACTCTGGGAGTCAGCTGTCATTCCAGTGCCTCTCCCTCAACTGAAACTTGCATTTGCAAGTCTGAACAAGAATGTTTTCAAAAAGGGAAGATGCCTGCGTTGCTCAGGCTCCAAGAAGCTTGTACTTATCGGCAAGCTCCCCTCTTACTCTGCCTCCAACAAATCTCTGTATTTGCATCCCCCACCTTTTTTATCTACCTCTGATTCAGAAGGAGATTGCTTTGCTGAAGAAGTGCACAGTACCTTAAAGGGACTTTTTAATTTGGAAATCAGCTGCTTATAAAGGAAACATGCTGATCATTCAGCTGTAATGGAGTTTGACATGCAGACACCAGCCCTGTATAAACTGGCATAAGGTGGGGGGAAATACTGTTCCTGCAGCCCCACCTCCATTCAGGCTGGGGCAGGTGTAGCTACATTGATGTAACTGCACTCATGCAAGTTCCCAATGCCGATGCAGTAGGCTGATATGACAGAATAAATTATATAGTAGGACTGCTGTTTGCTTCATGGAATGGGGTGCTTAAAAGTTGCTTACCTTGACTACCGAGAAACAAATGCTCTGCTTATGTGACGTGGGCGCAAGAGTTGCTATATAACCTTGAGCTGCTTTCTTAGTTAAGGTGAGTGCCACACTCGGACAGCACCTAGCACAGTGCAGTCCCAGCCAGGAACTGAGGCTTCTCCGCACTAGCGAAATGCAAAAGGTGCATATTTGTCTTGAGAAGAACAGAGATACAAGCTTTGTAAAACAGGCTGGAAGATGCCACTCAGCACAGAAAGGGTTATGGGACTAGCAAATAGCTGTTGCCTACACACCCTTTAGGGAGAAGGAAAATCTGGTGTGTGTGTGAAGAAACCCTCACTAACAGGCACGCACAGTGACTCAGAAAGGAAAGCAAGGTTGGAGTACTAGCACCAAAACCACCTCATCCATAGTATGCCCAGGTGCCTGCCTCAGAGCTGTGGAGAACATGCTTCCCCACCAGATCTTACTCCAGGAAAGAAAAAGCTAGTGTCTGTAGAGGTGCTCCTTCCAACTGAAAAAGTGAAATCCACCGGTCCTAGCAGTTACACCACAGCAGAAGCATTTGGTTCATCTCAATTTGCTGCACATGAGAAGACCAGATAGAGGATAGGAGAAATTCTCTCCTGAGGTGCATGGAGCCTGTACTTGATGCAGCTCCTGCCTCAAAGTTACTCCTTACACAGGACTCTTTTCAGGGCCACTGAGAGGCCAAAAATGGGCAGCTAGATTTTCAAAATCACAAGAGATTAAGGAGCTCCTCACAAGAGCTCAGCCTGGGAGCTGCTGGCTTTAGAGCACTGTTCTGTGCTGACATGGGCAGAAGGAAGCTGAACTCTTGACAAAGCTGCCCCACTGAAGGAACAACTCTGAGTGAACTGCAATAACTCATTGCTGCCCGTTTCCCCAATTCCCCTGTTTTTTCTAAGGCAAAAAAGGGTTAGGAAACCTTAATCTTAGTAGCAGGGACCAGAGTTTACACTGAGCTCCTATTAACTAAATCTGTTAGTTGGAACAGCACCCTAAGAGTTCAGGGTCCTGGCTGGCAAGTGCTCTCAGCAACAGGCTAAATGGACGGCACTTTTTCTGTGCGTTTAGCACTCCTTGCTAGTAGAGCAGGGGGAAAGTGGCCAGGTGCAGACAGCTCTGCACTATTCCAATCCCTAGCTCTTTCTGCAGCTCTGTGCTGAAACCTGTGGAGGGGCCCAGGCTGCAAAGAGCAGGAGCAGAATACAAAGGCAGCAAAGGCTGCAAAGAGCAGGAGCAGAATACAAAGGCAGCTTTGTGCACTCACCCGCTCAGCCCTGCATCCAGAGCTGACAGTGACGTGTGCTTTCCATCTTGTGCATACTTTGGCACTGTCGTCGCACCCTACGGCGCCACCAGGAATTGCCTCTTGTACCAATCCTGAAGCAGCCAGTGCCCTGCATTAGAGACAATTCACATGATAACTCACAAAATAAGCCATCCTGGGAAATGAAAGGCACAGTTTCTATTCACAGAAACAATTTTCAGTTAACATCTACAAACCACTTCTTTGTGAACAAGGAAAACTTGAGATTGGTTAGCTCAGCAATGTGCTGACTCCCCTGCCTACCGTGCTAACCATTGCTACCTCATTTCCTTGAGCTCCCATCAGTCTGTAGCTATAGCCTGTCTTGTCTTTTACTTGGATCTATATATCCAAGACGGGGGCCATCTTTTTGTCCCATGCACTCATTGTGGACTCGTTGTCCTATGCACCGGTCCATTACTAGCGTTAGATGCTATGGTAATAGAAAACAACAGATGTCTTAATCCGTAGTCTGTTATTGTTTCAACATAATGGGAAAGACGCTACTAATTTAACAAAACCATGGCTGATGCATACTCGAAGAGCAACCTTCAAGGAAACAAGATCCTGCTGCTCTTCTTCCAAGTCTGAAATCAAGGATCAGAGAGAACCTAATTCTGAACTACTAAAATTAGGAGCTCCTGCCCCCTTCTGGTGGACCATCAGCAAAGGTTAGCACAGAGAATAAGGTATCGTCCACGTTTCCCAGGTGTTGGTTGTAGCCTGAACAAGGGTGTTTGTACCTGAAAGCTTGCAAAGAATAATTTTTTCCAACTGTTTAGTTGGTGTAATTAAAGATATCACATTTACTCAAAGAACCTTGTCTGCTATAGAAAATAAGCTATCAAAGGACAAGTGTCTGAGCATCCCTGGCTTAGAGATGCGAGTATTGATCTGACTAGAAAAGAAAGTGCATGTTCGATATTTGTCTTCATGGACGAGGTCAGAGCTGAAGCTGAAGCTGGCTTTGCAGCCAGCGTTGAGTGGAAAATGTCTAGGAGCAGCACCTGCTAGAAACTAGTACAATAAAGCCTCATTTAGAGTTAGTCCAGAGGGCACTGCTGGACTAGAAGGGCTCACAAGTTCCTGTACAGATGGGCCAGAAAGCACAAGGCTGCATTAGCCGCTGCATGCAGCTGGGCTTTATTAACAGGGATTTACTTATTTGAAACATCAGCACAGGTTCTGGTCAATGCACCTTGCAATGTGAATGCTTTTGAGTTCATTTTCATGAAAAAAGTTTAAGTAATGAGAGTGATGAAGTGCACAACATAGTAGAAACTAAGCAATCTAGACGCTTCCCCTTTGAAGCCCTAAATATGATTTTTGATTAAATAGGAATCCAAGCTGGAAACACTCATCTTTAGAAAGACTCAAAGTAACCTTCAAGAAGATAAGCAACCTTACTTTTAATAGATCCAGTATTTTTAGAGCTGTATAGGTTGGACACTCAGATCACTATAGTAGGTCTCCCAGTCTAACAAGCATTGCACCCAAAACCAAAGCTTGCTCTATATGCAACTCAAGCCGTCTGCAAAACCCAATGTACGCTTATTTCTCCCTATTTGCATGTTTTGCCTAATCCAACCACTGGACTTAAAATGTTCTTTTGGTAAAGGAGTTTGTGGATTTAAAGAATAACATCCCCCTTCCATGCTACAGCAGAGTCTATACAACAATTTAACCAGCACTGGAAATTGTTGCAAGAACTCATTGTCTTTGAGGAAGAGGAGACATTTTATTCATGCAACAAGAACCTTTCCATCTTTTAATAGGCAAAGCTTGGGTATGGATAATTCAGGAACTATCCTTTTCTTCTTGCCTGTAAACTTCCTATGCTCGGGGTGTAATTTGAAGCTGCACTGCTAACAAACCGTTGATGAAACATAGCTTCTGGGTTGCGCTAGTGTGGCTACAAGCATCTCGGAAAAACACTTAAGCACAAGCCTAGTTATCTGTTGAATTCATTAAGATGCCTGGGCGTTTAAAATGCTTTAACTCCTGGTGACTTCAGGACATGCTTAAAATGCTTGCGTGAATCGGAGTGCGCCAGTGGATCAGGACCGATATGAAGAGGGGGCTACAATTCACACTTAGGACCAATGACAAACATGGCGCACATCACATGGGACAGGAGTGCCCTTTGGAGCTAATGGGAGGTGAATAACGTACGTCCACTGAAAAGCAGGAGGCAATTTACACCCATGTAGAAATGAAAAGTATGATTTATTTAAAAATGCTTTCTATTTTCCAGCTAGCCCAACACTTTCCATGTAAACAGCACAAGATCTGCTTCAGTTCTCACTACAGTATCAGAGGTCCATAATAGGCAAGCAGCACAAGGTTTTTCCTTTTCATTTCGCTTAACTGAACAGTCCTTTGCAAGTGTGTCAGTTTTGAAAATGGTATCCCTTTGAAACATACTGTACCGACTTCACAGATCAGCATGCTTGTTCTGTGAAACATTTTATGAGTAAACTTAGCATAACATGAACAACTGAAAAATATAAGACAGAACAGTGATCTGTCTGACAGTTATATGATGGGCACTGTACACCTTGGTCTGCGAGAGTGTAAGCTTTAGGGGAGATGAGCAAACCAGAAGTGTTTTGTATTGTTCTACTTTTATGCGCCTTATATGAAATGGCATAACACACGCTAAAAAAAGGGAGATGGCTTCCAGTCCAGTACTTTCTATTTGATTCATAAAGGAGGACCTGCTTATATGTAGG